GCTGCCGACCTGAGTCAAGAGGACGTTGCTACTGAGCGTATCTTGCTCGAGGCCTGCGAGAGAGTTGCGCGCTTCTATATCCACGACGACTCGCTCAAGGACCTCTCTTCTTCGCCCGTCTTCTTCACCCCGCCAGCTACGCCCTTGTCGCCTCCCAAGGCCAGGCCATCTGAGGCTACCCCGAGCCCCTGGCAGCAGGATACTGCTGAGACACTGGATGCCTACATCCTGCAGTCTCCGTTCCAACACGCCCTCAGCTTTATCCGGCTGCTCGGCGAGAACATCCCCGATGTCCTCCCTGCGATGCTCTCGACCATCATCCAGGAGGCCAAGCAGCTTCATCGTTTCCGCTCCCACGTCAGCCGTGTCGTCTCCCAGCTCGCTCACCGATACCCTCGTATGCGAGTGCTCGGTCTGACCGACCCCGAGACGGCGCTCACAAAGCATGTCATTGACGGCTTCAAGGGTTCATTCGTTTCCTACACGTTGGGCAACGAGACTGAGCCGGACCTCCTGGCGAGGGTCTCGTCCGACGCGATCAAGAAGAAGATCGACACTGAGCACACCAAGATCCTTGACGACGAGGACAACTCGTCTCTGCAGCCATTTGACATGGTCGTCCTGACAACCTCAATTGTCAAGGGCGCTGAGCAGCGCTCCAAGCTCAAGCAGGTTCAGAGCCTCATGAAGCCTGGTGGTTTCCTCATCCTCATCCATGAGTCAATGAGCCCCCTTCGTGACAGACTTCGTCGCGCCTTTGGCGTGAGGAGACAGGCCGATCTGCCGCTTACTCCTCCCGAGTGGCCCGACCTTCTTGACGAGTGCGGCTTTGCGCGCGTCTCCAAGAACGCCGAGCAGTTCTTCGCTCCCGACTTCTCCCTCATCGTCAGACAGGCCGAGTCGGACATCAAGCAGGCTGCTCTCAGCCCCCTCAACAGCTCTGTTCCCAAGGTTATGGGCCACACCCTCATCATCGGTGCCCAGGAGAATACAGCCGACCTGTCTGCCGAGGTGCACCAGAAGCTGGACCGGTTGTGCAGCAGCATCGACATCATCGCCGACCTGGACTCTCTTCAGCCTGCCATCTTCAACGAGATTAGCTCCGTCATCTTCCTTGCTGATCTGGATGAGCCCATGATGAGCTCCATGACGCCCGAGCGTCTCGATCTTTTCCGTGCCTTGATGGCGCCCGAGAAGGTCGTTCTCTGGGTTACCATGAACTCGCGCGCCGGCAACCCTGAGCACGCGGCCACTTTCGGCTTCTGTCGCTCCATGCTTGCCGAGATCCCCAGCCTGAAGCTTCAGATGCTCGACCTCGACTCCCGCCGTGACTCGAGCGACCTCGTTGCCGAGACCTTCCTCCGTCTCAGCATGAAGGCCCTGCGTAGCGCTGCACAGGATGGTAAGCTGCTATGGTCTCACGAGAATGAGATCTTCATGGAACATGGCAAGAGGCTCATCCCTCGTCTTCTTCCCTGGAAGGAGGGCAACGACCGTGTCAACTGCCCTCGCCGACTTGTGGCTGACGAGGTCAACACTCTGAAGCAATGCGTCGAGGTTGTCTCTTCCCAGTCTGGCGATGGCTCCGCTGTCTACACTGCCAACATTGTCGAGGAGACTGACATTGATGACGCTGTAGCAATCCCCGATCAGAGTGTCATCCAAGTCAAGTACAGCTCAGTTGAGGTCATCAACTTTGGACTCAAGTACGCCTCTCATGTCTGCATCGGAAAGGAGGTCACATCCGGCGAGCTGTGCCTTGCCATGACCAAGTCCAACTCGTCCTACGTCACCGTCCCCAACTCTTGCGTCTTCCAGCTCAGCAGCAGCAACATTGAGCCCAAGCTCCTCCTCGGTCTCGTCCTGAGATACCTCGTGGCCTTATCGGTCGCCGAAGACATGATGGAGCAGACTGTGCTTCTCTTGGAGCCCGATGCCGCTCTCCTGGAGTGTATGAAAGAGGTCTTTGAGGCAAAGGGTGCGAATGTCATTGCTTGCACCACCAACGGATCGAAGCGCAAGTCCTTTGGCCAGCGCTACATCCACCCTTACGCCAGCAACCGCGAGCTCAAGGCCCTCTTCCCTGCTGATGGTGCTTCCGTCATCGACTTCCTACCCGAAGGTAGCGAGCTCTCTGAGACCATTCTTGACTGCCTTCCCGAGAACTGCGAGTACCACTCTCGCTTCTCTCTTCTTACTTCCGAGCACGTCGTCGCCCTCGGTGATTCTATGGACATTGAGCACCTCTGGGAGACGGCCATCGGAAAGGCAATCACCAACGTCAGAAGCATGAACGGCCGCATCGGCTTCTCGGCTCTGGACTCCATCTCCGTCCCTCAGCTCCTCGACCACACCGGCAGCAGCAAGCCCTTCCAGATCCTCGACTGGCGCGCCGAGCGCGAGGTGCAGCACATCGCCAAGCCCCTCTTTGGCACACAGCTCCTCCGCCCGTACAAGACCTACGTCCTCGTCGGCCTGACGCGCGACATGGGTCAGAGTCTGTGCAACCTCTTCTTCGAGCACGGCGCGCGCCACATCGTCCTGGCCAGCCGCAACCCCAACATGCAGCCTCAGTGGATCGACGACCTCAGCGCTAAGGGGTGCGAGGTGCGCATCGAGAGGCTCGACGTTACCAGCATCGAGAGCGTGCGGGCGTTCAAGCAGAGGTTGGCACAGGAGATGCCGCCGGTCGCCGGTGTCATTAACGGTGCCATGGTTCTCGACGACCGCGTGTTCGCGCAGATGGATGTTGAGACCTGGAACAGGGTCATGCGTCCCAAGACTGTCGGCTCGAGCAACCTAGACGAGATCTTCTGCGAGGCAGACATGGAGTTCTTCATCATGACCTCGTCGTTCGCGGCACCTGGTGGTCACGGCGGGCAATCCAACTACGCCGCAGCCAACATGTACATGAACGGCCTCGCGGCCAACCGTCGCATCCGCGGCCTGGCAGGCTCAGTCCTCAATATCGGTGTGATCTATGGCCTTGGTCTCCTCCACCGCGAGCGCACTGACATTTACGCGTTCCTCGAGAAGGACGGCTACCCGCCCATCTCGGAGCGCGACATCCACCACATGTTCCTCGAGGCCATTGTCGCCGGCCGTCCCCTCGACGGCCAGATCTACGATATCACTACTGGTCTCAGCCGGTACAACGCCAACCGCGAGGACAAGCTCCACTGGCAGATTGACCCGCGCTTCTCGCACTTCACCTTTGAGGATGACGACGAGGGTGCCGAAGGCGAGGGACAAGGCAAACAGAGTCTCAAGGAGAAGATCAAGGCCGTCGAGGGCGGTGCCGAGGAGGTCGCGACCGTGCTGACCGAAGGCTTTGCACGGTACCTCGAGGTCGTTCTTGGCCAGGGCGAGGGAAGCGTCAAGGGGGAGCATAGCGTTGGCGAGCTGGGCATGGACTCGCTCGTTGCTGTGGAGGTGAGGGGGTGGTTTTGGAAGGTGATTGAGCGGGATGTTTCTGTGATGAAGATCCTGGGCAGCGCGAGTGTTGCAAAGTGTGAGTTTTATCTGCCCTTCTGTTTTTCCTCTATTGGACTTTGACTGACTTGTTGATTCTAGTGTGTCTTGAAGTTGCCGATGGCTACATCAAGGAGAAGAACAAGGCATAAAATGCCGACACTATAGTCTACGGGCTAGACCCGAGAGTGAGAGGGGAACTAAGAAGGGCTGTGAAATCTTCTTACGATACCTCCGCTGGGAATATGTTATGTACCATCATGTCTGCGCTGCATTTCATGTTTGCTTTTGCTTTTGCTTTTCTATGCATTTCAGCTTGAGGTTCGATGGGTGGATGGATTTGATGATGCGGTTGGGAAAAGATTGTGTGTTCCTTTGTCAAGTCTGGTTAGCTATGATATCTTTTTGTATCTATTTATATGGTTTGGTGTATTGGGCTGGAAGGAAGGCTATCTCGATGTTGGATGGAAAAACAACTTTGGGGGTTGGGATCTATTGGAATTTGGTCGGTGACTTGCTACGTCAAGTCGTTTGTTTTTGCTTCATGTTTGGTTTGGTTTAGCTTTTTGGCTTTTGAGATATACCACTGTCACTACGAATATCTATAGCTGTCTGTTAGAGTCACTTGAGAGATTGTGTTCTTAACATTAGTGCTTGCCATCTAAAGTCTCGGTAACTTTTCTGCTTTCAGTCGCCGTGCTTAAGTCCCCATATCCTTCACGGGGCCTCATTTACGAATCGTTCGTAGATGAGCGGACTAGGAATTGCCCACCAAGGTGAATCAAGAATCAAAACGTGCCATGCCCCCGAACTCTTAAGCTTTCCGAATCCACATATTGCAATATAACCATTCGGGCTAGGCACTTGACAACACAACCGTCCGAACCCCAACTTCCAAGAAGATCCCGCTCATCCGGCCGTGACATCCAATGTGGATATCACCCGTTGCCTCTTTGGGGTTGGGGATGCCCTCCCTCCGCGTCCCCGCATCAACAACCACGCTACCACCCGGCCTGCCGGCCCACCATGATCCACTTTCATCTTGTCCCGCTTGTCAAGGTGTGCTTTTCAAGCTTTTCTTCCCCTCCTTCATTCAATGTTTGGCAGTTTGCTCGTATGGCCTGGTCGTTTACCAAAGTGAACCGCGGACCTGGGTCCTGCGAGCTTGCCGTTTCTTCCCAGGTACGAGATGAATCTCCGCACGAACGACGGAGGGGGAGGGGTCCCCTAGATACCATCGATTCTTTTCCCGCCAATGACTGTAGGGAAATCCCTCGGGTTTGAACGAGTCTTTGAGAGCTCGTGGCTTTCGGAAGCACCGCTCGACCAACTTCCTGGTTCGGACTGGGTTCACGGATGGAGGTTCCCACCAGAGACGCTGAAAGCGGGATAGGGTGATGTAGAGACCAACAGAGAGGTGGCAAGCTCGTAAGTCTATATAAAGACGAATCTGCCTTGTTGCACGCCCCTTGGGATCTTGGCTTTGCTAGGTTGGTCTGTTCCCTCTGGAATCACAATCCACAACGACAATGGCTCGCATCACGGCATCCGTCCTCATCGCCGCCGGCTTGGCCCTCACCGCCAACGCGCAAGCGCCGGTCTGGGGACAATGTGGAGGGACAGGATGGACGGGCTCGACTAGCTGCGCTTCTGGAGCGTATTGCTCCTCCCAGAATGCTTGGTACTGTGAGTAAACCCCGGATTGGTAGAGGAGATGGATGTTGGACACCCAGAGTTGACTGGCTGTAGACCAATGCGTTCCCGGAACGGCGCCGGCCGTCTCCTCCACCAAAGCCACCAGCGTCCCGGCCTCAACTACCAGCCGCGCTGTGACGACTACCACATCCGTCCGCTCCACCTCTTCCTCCCGCGCCCCGACGTCAACGGCCACCTCCGTCCCGTCTCCATCCGGGCCAAAGTACTTCATCACCTTGTAAGTCACACCGCATACCTACATTACTCTACAGCAAAAGAAACGACAACTGAACAAAAACACCAGCGGAGACTCCTACTCCCAAACAGGCTTCAACATCAACTCCACAAAACCCAACCCCCAAAACCCCCTCGGCAACCCAGACCTGCCCGGCTGGACCGCCTCAGGCGGCCTCGACTGGGTCGGCTTCATGGTCACCCAGTTCAACGCCTCCCTGACCTACTCCTACAACCTAGCCTACGGCGGCGCCACCACGGACGCGAGTCTCATCGCGCCTTACGCCACCACGGTGCTCAGCTTCATCGACCAGGTGGCCGAATTCTCGCGCAGTCTGGCGTCCAAGCCGAGCTGGGCGCCGTGGACGGCGGATAATACCCTCGTCGGCGTGTGGATGGGCGTCAATGATGTGGGAAACGCGTTTTGGCTTTCGAATCGGGAGGCGTTGTTGGTTCAGGTTCTGGGGCGGTATTTTGACCAGTTGCAGATTTTGTATGATGCTGGAGTGAGAAAGTTTGTGTTGCTTGGTGTTCCGCGTGAGTTTTGTCCTCGTTTCCCCGTCACTTCATCTGAAAGGACAGCCAGAACGTTCAGACATGGCTGGTCATACAAAGCAGAGCTCGCAGAGACCACATATCAAACTAACAGCCTCATCTACACAGCAACACAAAAGACCCCGCTTATGCTCGCCAACAGCGCCGACTCCAACGCCCAACTCGCAGCTGCGATTAAGCAGTATAACGACCTCATCACCAGCAACCTCGCCGCCTTCAAGGCCAAGAATTCCGGCATCACGTCCTGGGTCGTCGATACCACGCCCGCGTTTGACAAGGCCATCAACAACCCGACTGCCTACGGCGCTCCCGACGCCACGTGCTACAATGCTGATGGTGTCAGTTGCTTGTGGTTCAACGACTACCACCCTGGCGTGCAGATCCAGAAGCTTGTGGCGCAAGCTGTTGCGGCGGCTGTTGGTGCGCCGTGGTTTACTTGTGAGTTGCCCTCTCCGACGGCATTTCGTGATTGTGTTCTGACGAAAGTTGTAGCATGATTGTATTTGGCGTCATGTAACTGCCACAAAAGATAGTTGTCTAGATAGTCAATCTAAGCTGCAACCAATTCGACGAGAATTGTCCAAATTTGTGACGCATATTGGATATTCTGACTAAAACAGAGATCTCAACTTGACAATCCAGATGAGGCATCTTAAACTCCATCTCGCTACTCATAGTCTATCGAGTTAAGACGACTTCACAAGATCATCGCTCACAAACACAACACGCGTCTTCCCCAGCCCGGCCTCGCTCCATCCCTTCTCAACATCCTTCATCGCAATCACCTTGACCTCCTTATCCTTCAACCCAGCAGTCACGCCAACCATCCCACCAAGCTCATTCGCATACTCCCTCATGAGCCAGCTGCCCGGCCCAGCACCACGGAGCGCGACCCTCTTCCCTCGCAAGATGGCTCCAGGGAGAGTAATGTCCCCGTCGCCAGACACGGAACCAATGTGTACATACTGCACCTCCCTCTCCGACTTTGGCAAGGCCTTGAGCAGGTCCACCACAGGATTTCCGTAGACGTAATCCAACACAACATCCACTTCGCCCAGCTTCGACCAGTCCGTCTCCCCACCATTGAGAACAATCCGCTCGTCGATCGGAATCTCCTCCATGGCGGCAGCATTTCTTGCGATTCCAACAATCCGTCCCGCGCCCTTGGCACGAGCAACATCAACAGCCACGCGCCCGCTGGCACTCGTCACCCCCAAAATCGCGACAGAGAAGCCTTTCTGCTGCGGTGCGGCCCGCGCAGACAGTGCCATCCAGCTGCTCATGACGGGGTTCATAAACGCAGCGGCGACAGCAGGGTCCGCGCGCTCTGGAAGCGGCGACACAGCGGCCCGATCGACGTTGACGAATTCCGCAAATGTGCCTGTCGCGAGGGCGGCGAAGAAGTAGCGTTGGCCGGTAGTCGGGTCCTCGCCTACGCCGTCTGCGCCGGGGAGGTGAGGGAGGGTCGAGGCGGTGTAGTGTTTTCCCGAGGCGCGGGAGAGGACGAGGCGGTGGACGCCTGTTGCGAGGACGCGGAGGCGGATTTGTGTTGGGGATGGTTCTGGGAGGTCCGGGACGGTTGTGTAGGTTGGGGGTGAACCCCAGGTGTTGACGAGGGCTGCGTGCATTGTGTGTGGTTGTGATTGATGGATTTGAACTCTGAGATGGTTTGTTGGAGACGATGAAGCTTGTGATGTGCTGCTCAAATACTGACTTGAGGGTTTAGCAAAGTTGAGACGATGTCTGGGACCGAGACAGTTATATACTGTTCGACAGTTAAACAAAGAAAGTCAGACAAACATTGTGACCAACCGCATCGTCCAACATCCCAGAACTGGTAAGTTACCTCGACATACATAGTCCTACTCAAGTATCCGTCTTACACACTTAGATACTTAGCGCCGGCGCCACTGCGAGACGCTGAGCATGCAGTCTTTCGCGTAGTAAGCAAGCCAAAATCACCCCTTCTCTCGCTGCGCCGCGCTCGGCATTAGAGAGTAAGCCGCGCGCGGTCGATGGCCATGCCTCCGAGCTAACGGGCCCCAGACTAAGGAGTTCATCTCGCGTCGCGGTGGCGAAAATGGCCTCAAGCTTTCTTTCCCGCGCGACAAGCGTTTGTGTAGGGCTGAATGGGCGGCGGGCGTTACTGGCTTGACTGGCTGGCTAGAGAGAGACTAACTGGACTGCGTAAGCCGTGCGGAGCGGGTTGCAACAAGTTGTGCGTCATCCGGGAAGCCGGCACCGCAAGCGAAAAGTCCGTCGGCCTTCCGGAGGTCAATGGATCCTCCGCTCCGTACGGAACGCGAGTTTACCAGCACCCTCAACGGCATCGACTGACGTGACCCGGCCACGGAGGACGCCTCCTTTTTTCTACGGGTGGTTTGCTGCTTATATGCTTTTGAAGTCTCTATAGGAGCCTAATGCAGTTGTCAGACTCTGGAGGTTTTGAGTGGTCTCTTCACTATATTAGAGGACCTCAAGGATAGAGTCACCCTAGAGTAGGAACCATACTGACTAGAGTTTCTTGACCTACAGCTCGGCCGGGCCCGAGACGCGGGCGGCTTTGACAACACGACCGTAGATCTCAGTACGGTCCCACAGCCGTCCAGGTGGCTCTGTGGCTCTGAGCTCTGTCTTCCCATCTCCATCACACTCACTCTACCGACGTCCGAACTCTTCGGCCGAGCTCATGAAGATCTCATTGGTATTATTCGTAATGCCTACTTGGATTTGTGGCCTTTGTCGTCGTCCTTAGGCCTCTTCTGAGGCCAAATAGTTCGTCCCACATATTGAACGGGCTTTGGTGCGAGCTCGGCCGGAGAGCGAAGCCATCTCGGACTACCTCGGAAATAGAATTGCATATTACCGATATCTTCAATTCATTACTAGTTGAATCCTGCAGCTGGTCTTGTGGAGCATCAACAATAACTTGAGAAGGATCTGGCCCTCTGGTAGCCGAATATTGTTTCGATCCAGTTCAAGTCGGAATCTTCGCGAAATCATGCTATCCGTTCGGATTCTTATGACAGTGATTCAGTCGGAGGTGCATCGAGGTGGGGCAAGCACCCTGTCATCATCGACCAACATCGAGTGTTCTTTCTATCGGCCTCGTCAGCTCCTACCCGCAGTCAGAAGGGACCTCAAGTAGCAGACAACAATTTTCCTCATTGAGGCCCTCATTATTTGCTGCCGAACACGATCAGCACCGATTTCGGATTTTAATGCATCTTTAATGCAGGTGTTCCATAAATCCATGGAAACATCTTCTTGGAAAGGATCTTGCGGGGTTCAATGCATTCTGGAATTGATTCTAGTCTTGGGTTCCATGAGACACAGGTCCAGCTCGGCATCTAAATCAGAAGGCGCAAGTAGGCACTGCCTGAGAACATTAATAGTGTGAGTAAGGTCTGCAGTGGCATTAATATTACAAAGAAGGCGCCAATTTGGAAAATTGCGACCTTGGAGTATCGAGAGTCCATTAATAGATCAAGTGCTTTTCATCCTGTCAGATCATCATCTAGTCTACTTGACCAACAGGGTTTGTCCCTTGATAGGCGCATCACTTATATTGAAACATAAAGATTACTTCCCAATCATTTTTCTGATGCATTTAATAGAGAGTTTAGAGTCTGTTCGAAAAGTTATGTCGTCGAAAGAAGCCAAAGAATTAATGCCATCCTATCCTCAGACTGGCCACTGAACCCTGGGCGGTTGGAACGAGCTGGTACGGAGACTTTGATACGTGTACCGTGTAGGTATATGGTATAACACGTAAACAAGGACTCTTGAAGCTGTTTGGAAATTTATATAATATGGCTGCAAGCCGGTGTTCATGTCATGGGGACTGGTGGTTCGCAGGCACATACTTTCGGGGTCGCTACTTAAATCATAGCCATCTAGGTAAAGTGCTCAGAGATAGCTGTTCAAGAAGACATAAGATTTGTGATTACATGCTCCTACAGTGGGGTGCTACAAGTTGTAGCCCGCCTATCATCGATGGTGATGATCATGCATGTGATACTGATGACCCACCGGGATATCTTATTTTACACAGCACAGTGGATGGCGTTCACGATTGTTCCACTCGATTCGTAATATTACCTTTGAGCTACTAGTTTATTTGAAAAATCCACTGTGTTTGTTATGTTTGGAAGAAATTCCCGATTCATCCAATCCTAGATTTGGACAACAACAGGTGCCTATTGCGTAGACGAGTCGCACTGCTTGGAAAGTCAATTGCCAGTCTGGAGGACCGATCTCGGACTGGAAGTCGTCAGCATACATGTACATTCCGCAGAGACCAAGCAACATTCCGCCTCCGTGGAATCTGGACCGCGGGCCAAGTTCAGAGCTGTCTAGACTGTTCTAGCGGTTTACATCGGCAAGCCATGCATATGCCAAGGCCCACTCCGGTTTGATTGTCTTTAGCAAATGTTGAAATTAGCCTTCCATGAAAGGACAAAAGGGTCGCTAAACCCTTTGAGTATTCGATGCAAAAGTCAACATCTATCATCAGCCAGCATTGCGTACCTTTCACAACCAAAAGATGACGGATCCTCCGCCCATGATGCAGAATTCAGCCAACAAAGGTGTACCGACATCGGTCATCATTCGGCAAGCCATAAACCCAGCCGATATGACTGCCGCCAAGAAATGCTTTGAAGCGTACACGAAATGGCTGGACGAAGACATCTCTTTCCAAAACTATACCGAAGAACTCAGCGGTCTTCCGGGGAAGTACTCACCTCCATCCGGCGCACTACTTCTTGCCGTAGATTCGACAAGCGGAAAAATCCTCGGGTGCATTGCGATGCGGCCTCTACGTCTCGAGTCACATTATCTCCGGAACCGTCGACCCGACGCTCGATACTGCGAAATCAAACGACTTTTTGTTTACCCGGAAGCGAGAGGCAAGCGAGTAGCCAGAATTTTGGTCCGTGAGGTACTTCGGCGCGCGGGGGAGCAACAATACGACGAAGCCGTGCTCGACACCATGGCCAAGATGCAAGCTGCAGTTAGACTGTATGCTTCGGAGGGATTTGAAGAAACATCCCCTTACTACAACAACCCTCTCAACGGAGCCTTGTATATGTCTAAGAGGCTGTCTAAAGTCTGAAACATGCATCTCTATTCAGGGTATGGGCGTGTCTAGTGGACAAGGCGATGCCGGAGCTGCATTGACTATGACTCGAATGACTGGAAGCTTATCCTGGGAGGAACAGACCATCGTATCAACATTGTTTTTCGTGGGTTCTTCTTGGCTTTGTAGACAAAGAGAAAATCAGAGACCTACCCACCGCGCGCTACGAGTGCCTTACAAGTTGCGTTCACGAGCCTTTGTCCAACCACATCTGAAACTACTGACTCAAATGCCAAGGATCGCTGGATCGGTAGCACGACGTAGGCAAGCCCCCCATGCCTGTCAATCGAGCCGTTTGGTTTCCCACCGTTGATCGAAGCCGGATAACGTCGGTTATGGTATGAAATAGATCAATCAGATGCTCACTGTTTGGCATGGGCTAAGTGCGTTAGGCGGATTTC